TCACTTGAAATTTTTCAAAATATTTTTACTTCAAATCATCCTATTCTGACTGAGTCGTACAACAATATTGGTTTAGTTTATAAGAACATGGAAGAATACACGATGGCATCTATGTATCATGAAAATGCTATTAAAATTGCACAACATTCATTACCTGAAAACCATCCTGATATTCAATTGTATATTGAGAATCACGAATCAGTAAATCATAACATTGAAAATAATTTGACGTAAGCATATGAGTAGTCAGAGACTTTTAATAAAGAATCTCAAATTCAATTATATATATTGTGTACGTATTTGTATTGAAACGAACTGAAGATCATTGATAGCATAAGGAGAGTTATTTTAAATATTGATCACTTACGAGGAAACCACCCGAGGTGTCAAAAAAACTTTTCGGCTGGAAGTATGATGGTTTGGTAGGGCATACATAGATATGATATATCCTAAGTTGGTTCGTGCGAAAGTTGCTTCTAGGCTGTGGGTGTGGGTGTGGATGTGGGTGTGGGTGTGGGTGTGTGGGTGGGTGTGGGTGTAGGTATGAGCATGGGTGTGGGTGTGAGTGAAGAAAACAGACCCAGACCCAGACCCACACCCCACACCCACACACCCACACCCCACACCCACACCCGAGGATGGGAGCATGTTACATTTAAAATTGAATATCTCAACAACAGTTTTTGCTATCGAGTTGTAGTTTGCAGAAAAAGCTTTCTAGTTGATTTAGTGTTAACTTATTCTATTGAAACTGAAACTTCGAAAGATCGTTTTAGCAGCCTCTGTGGTAATAGATCGTGTCTTATGCATAATGTTTCTTAAGCCAATATGAACAGATCAGTTTTTGATAAAAATGAAACCATTTTATCATACATCGATGTAGAAGTTCTCATCAAAATAAGAAAGAATCACTTAAACCTTGCAATTTTCTTTCTGATAAAGAATCATCATCATCAAGTCGAATAGACAAGACAACAAATGATACTTCACACCCTGAATAACGGGTGTGGATATGGGTAAAATCGAGTGCTGTCGAAAAAGTGTACATTCACATCCACATCCACATTCACATTCATAATTACATACTTCGATATTTATATTGTGTTTGACAAAAAGAATTCGACACGAAGAAAATAAATATCTGCTCTCTTTTTGTTTCAGATTAAATATTTTGTATTAATTAGCAAAACTGTTATTTTGATAGAAAGGCAAATATTTCTTTAGCTAGATTATCTTGATTGTATTTGAGATTCAATTGTTATTTATTAATGATAGTAGATTATGATTATGTAAACAACTGATTATTCTTGTGTCCTAATTCAATCTTTTCTTATGAACATTTTCATATTGATTTAATTTATACTATAGTTTCATAGTTTCACAATAAATTTCAAAAACAAATAGATACAACACAATCTAATGATTACTTTTCTTTTCTTTGAAACTTTAGAAAATATATTTATTCATTGATAAATTAGAATCGACACACTAAACCGTAACTAATTCAATTTCTAATAAGAGTCAAAATTTTCGATAATATATTATACTATCAAAAATAAATCTTCTCAAAAAGACACAGCATTTCAATTTTTATTAGTTCCACTAATAAATATAATAAATAATAAATATGTTTCAAATAAATAAAAGTTTTTATTTCATTTTATATAAACAATCATTTTCTCTTGTTTAATTCGTCATTTGGAAAAAAAAATAATTCATTACAAGTCAATCAGTTAAATATTCGTATCGAATTCAATAAAACTTTTTCTTCACCGGATAATTTGATCATGAATTTATATAACAGATGTTATTAGTAAACTGATAAGAAAACAAAACACAGAATTAGTTTCTTTTTCGTTATCTTCAAATATTCTTTGTTGAAGAGAAGCAAAAAAGTTTTTGATATCAATTAAGAAAAATAAAATAAATGTCTATTTGCATGATCATTATTGTTTCATATGTAATAGAGTCCTGCAAAGCGATCCTATCCGAGAGTGGATTCCGAGTGAACTTCGTGGGTCGAGCACAAGTTACATTGCGAAGACTGTCGGGTTTATTTTTTTGAACGCCATTTATCGCTCTCTATGTACTTTTTTTTATCAATCATATTAAATTAGTCTACCATGAAGCTACACGTTCATAGTACCTTTGAATACTATAACATAATTCAAACAATTCCGAAATGACCACATAACTTCTCCTTCGTCTTCTTTTTCTTCTGCTTTAAAAGAGGAACAAATTCATTAGACTAGAAACATATTATTGTACTTACATAATTCAAATTAAATGTTAACTTATACATGATTTTGTCTCAAATAATAAAGAGATAACACAACACCGTTGTTCACTTTTTTTCATTAAACTTCTCAAAAATTTCTAGCAATAATATGGAATACAACTGTAACGGGATAAGTATTATCTCTTTGTCTTTCTAATGCACATGTCTTGAAATGAGCATAGAAAATAGTTTACATTTTAACGTGTTCCAATAAAAGAAAATAAGCATTATCGATAGTTTTAATTCTTATTTTTGTTTCCAAACATTTCTATCAATACAATACAGTGGTCATCATCCGAACTACTCCTGTTAAATCATATGTAACAGTGTTTTATATTTTGGAGAGTTTTAATAAGAGGTCTCTACGATGCTATCTTCGCTATCTTAGTAAGAATGAGGCCATAGCATCTGATATCATACAATCGCATGATACGATGTTTATTAAATAATCTATGCAAATCTTGAAGAATTTGCTGATACTGTATGCAAGAACAATAAAGTTCGATATCTTTGTAGAACTAATTAGACCCTTTGGATTTCATTTTGATATATATTCCGTACTTTTATGAAAGTATCAGTTTTTATTGAATAATCATATGTGAAGAAGATAGCGAGTCGAGCATAAATAAATCACCAAGATTTTCGAGTTCAACTTCACTGGGTCGGGTTCCGAAAGTTGAAGCCACGCAGAACTCTAATCTGTAACTACTGTTCAATAATAATATTAAACAAAAAATCCATCGGCAAGAAATAGACAAAAACAATTTAATATACGTTTACTTAAAATCAAATTCATTAAATCATGAACCTTATTTTAGATATTAACTGTAAAAGTTTTTTTTTTATAAGAACTATTAATTAAATAAATTTATAAGAATAATCACCTATAATATAAGAGATTAGAGTGGTATTTACACGTATTCGATAAACAATCAATAGGGCTGTTGGATTATTAACATAGGAAATACCAGAATAATCAGTTTTAACTTTTGAAAATTAAAACTTATTTATAGAAGACTTTTCGTGACATATCATGTTAAAAGTTTGAGTGAATCAAGAAAAAAATGTTTTTTTCATAGATGAATTAAATATATTACTTGTCTGTCAAGAAAATTTTACAGTTTTTATAAAAGTTTTAATCTCTTTTATTCAATAAAATCAATAAACAATTAACTCTGTGAAATTATTGTTCGATTTTCCTTTTAATATAGATATTTTTAAATATTTGATGTGTATTTATTAGATAAATAAGAGAATAATGATGTTCATTTATTGCTTGTTTACCTATTGAGTAATCAATAAGTATTAATAATAATCGTTTTTTTTATTTTCTAATTCAATGCAAATTAGTTCAATATTATAATGTTTATTCAATTAAAAAAATAAAAAATCAAGATTAAATTTCATTTTGTGAATGATTATTTAATCATATTTGAATTAAATATTTTAGATAAATTTAAAATATCACTAATAAAATCACGTAAACGTTTTCCATAAAATTTATTTATTAAGTTTATTCAATGGGAATAACGTGATGATTTTGTTATTTTAATAGATGATTATTTAGTAAAGAAAATATTTGAAATTACAAAATAAACCAGCCACGAATTGATAATTTAACATTATTTCGAGAAATACATTTCGTATTGTAACAACATTATCGGCCGATAATATTAATATATCAATGTTCTCTCATTTTATAATAAACGTTTATTGATAATATGATGATTGATATAAAGAAACAAAGTAAATTGATATTTTTCTGAGATGATTCTCGTTATCAATAATTTAAATATTATTGATGAGAGCTTATTTAAATGCAATGTCAATTGAAGGACAAACCATTAAATGAAATTATTTTTCAGTTATGATAATCATTTATGGTTTGAAGAATTTTATTTCGAGATTGTCTAGTCTCTTTCGTTAATCATACTCTTGATTTTCGAGCGTTTAAAAGACTTGTTAGGTCATGATTGAACTTGAAAAGATTTGGGGAGTTTCAAACAAACTTCATTGTACGTGAAGAAGCAAAGGATAGAGTTTATTAGGTCTGACATTTTCGGATCCAGTTATTCTACATATTTCATAAATAGATAATAAAAAGTACGTACTTTATTAATTTTTTTTAGGCTCTCATCTGACGTATTCTTTACTAGAATCTTTTGTTTTCTGGTTGATGAAAATATTTCTTGATGAATTTTAATTGTTAACTGTAACTGTAAGATCATCATATTACTAAATGTGATAGATGAAATCAATTTTTAATTATTCTTTCTATCAAAATAATTTTGAAAGTTAAAGAAATCAAATATGTGTATATTGGAAATTTTGATGATGAATTATGAAATAATTCAATAAAATAATAATGAAAGAATAAAATAAATTTATATTAATTTATTTGAATAAAATAAGATTTAATCGAATTTCATAGTCTACAATTGTTTATTCTACTTAAATTATTTATTAATAATAGATAAAGCACCAGTAAATGCTTGCGATTTGTGAATAAATGTAAAAATAATTTCACAGAAAATAGAACAAAAGTAAAAAAGCAAACATAAGATATAGTCAGTTTTTGTTGTAAATAAATATAATCAAGCTTTGTTTTTTTTTTCTACAAAATAATTTGGTTAAATTGATATATTCTCTTTTATGTCCATAAGAGAATAGGAGCAATACCTATAATGAAAATAAATTCATATTAAATAAGAAATCATTTATTCTAAATTAGACCTTCTGATGTTGTCCATCTAGGCATGATAAAATCATTGGCAAAAAATTCTAATGGAAATTCAACAATAAAACCTTTAATTTGTTTACATTTTTCATGTGCCTTAATTAAACAATAAAGATTTTTGATTTAAATTAAAATTAAATAGATAAAATTTAACGTACAGTTAATGGATCTATGTCTCTCAATTTAACTTGTTGAACATAATCTTCAACTTCAACAAAATTTTTAACACGATTAGTAGGTAATGTATTAAAAACTTCTTCATAAATTTGTGCATTCATTTTTGCTGTTCGACGAAAATATTCATAAAATTCATCTGAACATGGATCATCAACACTCATTTCTTCTTCATTTTTAATACCCAACATTTGTCTTTAAAAATTAATAAATATATTTATAATAATATTAAATTTTAAAATTAACCTGAATAATTTCTTTCTCCATGTTGAAGAAAAAAGTCCAACTTGTTGTTTTTGACCATTTAATTGTGAATCAATCATTTCAGTATCATTAACAAATAAACAAAATTCTGAATCTCGAGAACCCTGAAGAGAACGATCATTTATATTTGCTGATCCACAAATAGACATTCGATCATCAACAATCATTAATTTTGAATGAACATAAATAATTTCTGTTACCTTTAATAAGTTTATTTTTATTTTATATTATTAAATAAAATAATTCGAAATACTTACTAATTTACCCATTAATATATCCCAATTACGCATTCCATAAAATGTTATATACTCTTCCGGATTAGATATACCTATTTCAATAATTAACATCAATCAATTTATTTTTAATGATATATACTATATCAAATAAAATATAACTAAATTATTTATAATTTAGACTTATTCAAAAAATTATAAATTTATCTAAACTGATTCAACAATCAAGTCAATTTTTGTTTTTGGATTATTTGAGTATTATGATTACTTTCTTAGTCTTTGAATACAGACTATTAGGAAACGATTGCGACAACAACCAAAAGTTGTGTTATGAGAAGAGTCTAAATTATTTTTTGAGAAATAGTTTAACATTTTGCAATATTTTGTTCATTTCTATGCATTATCAAATGACTATTCTCTAATCAAAAGAACTCAAATAAGAACAAGATAGATCTTCGACTAAATAATATTCACAAATCTCACTACTGTTGTCAAAAATATAATTTACTTGAAATTGTTTTTCAATCTAGTTTGTAAATATTATCGAAGAACTTTATTAAAGTCGATAGCGTAGCGAAGACATGTCGGCTTTGTATATCTCCACTTCTAACAATTCATGCCAAAATCATTTCGTTGTTTTTATGTTTTGAACCTGATCAGTTTTGTCTGAACTTGATTACAGATCAGTACAATTACGAAAAATTCAATTATAATACCATTAAAAACTAATTTGATCTACTAAATGTCGTTTGTCACATGTTCTATAAACATTTCTCTTTATTTAATATAAATTCTATGTATGTGACATACGTTTCATTATCTAGACGAAAGATGTTAAATGTATCTTCTTCAGAGAATTGATCACCTATTCACTATTTCTTGTTGATATAGTCAATTTTTTACAGATGTTTGCATATGAAAACTTTTCAACATTTAAAAAAATTTCAACGTCTCTCAGTCCGAGATAAAATGAAAGGAAAACACTTAGTATTAATGTTATCGAAACAGTTTATTAGAAGAATCTAAAGACAATACTATTGAGTCCTATGGATACGCAGACATGTTGCATAAGCCCTTTGTTTTTAGACGTAATGAATATTTTTTTTAACCCTATAACTTAATGGAGCTTAAAAGGATTCCCTTATCAGAATTGATCTAATTGTATTCGTGTTACTTGAAAAAATAATATTATCAAATTTGAAAAACATAGATAAGTTTAAAATAATATTTTCATATATGCTGACTGTAATTATATCCAAATCCATGTTTCATATCATCACTACTATCCATTTTAACAAAAAAAGAATCTGTTTCACTGTTTTTTGAAGAACTTTTCATAGGAATATGATAGAGATCTCAGATTTTTACCATTCGAGAGAAAATATCCTGATTCATCGAACTTTATTGATATTTAATTAGTCAACAATTGATCGGCCAGGGAATTTATCGGTGAAGATTTTTGAACATGATATTCTAAAGCTATTTTCCTTTTTTGATTTAGACTTTTAATGGGACTAGTCGATAGAAGAAATTCTTTTCTTTCGATCTGCGCAATTCCAACATTTCTAGTTTGTTCTGTTTGAGAGTTAGAAGGCTTTTCCTTGAAACCCACAATTTCAGCGAATCGACTTTTGATAATTGGGGAAAAGAGCTAGAGAGGGATAATTTTCTATGCTGAGTCGAATGGTACTATTTATTTTTAGATTTGAAATGATCAGATTCTGTTATCGTAATATTTCTGAAATTCCACAATGAGTTTTCACGTAACCAACGAGTCGATATTTCGAAAATATTAAGACAGCAGTGTCAAATCAGTTCGAGTCTAAAAATAAAAATCATCATTCGAATCAGTATGATGAATTACTCTTGCCTAGCTGCTTTTATGAGTAATCACAAGTCACTTCAATTGAATCGAATATTCAGAAAAAATCTTATTAGCCTCGAGCAGAACAAGTTAGGAATGTCAGCCTTGCATAGGCCAACAGAGAATAATGTCTTCTATTATCTTGCCCTACTAAAATTCCAAATCAAAAGGGAAACGACTTCAGAATATTGTTTTCAAGAATCTTTACCAAGAAACTCTCTGATTAGTTAATTTCTGATCAGTCTCATTTCGATATAGTTTGATGGCCCTGAATTTTCTCTCTTGAATAATGAAAACGGTAGATTTCTCTGATGTGCCTATGGAAAGTTATTGAGAAAAACAGTGTAGCAGATTATACTTTGAAATGGATAGTTGATAATCATAATACTTGAATGATACAGTGAGGGCTCAAAAAAGCATGTACATTTTTGTTTTTACGCATAAACGAATAATAAGGGTACTCTGAAAATTTTCTCTCATATCGAACTTCGTAGAGCTTTTTTCGCTGATCATTTTGGTAAAAAAAAATTGATTTTCATTGAGTAATGACGATGTTATAGTCAAAATACTAAACACTGTAACATAAAGTAGGGAAAAAAGTTTAGCACACTTTTAGTATTTGGCTAATTTTTACGTTATTTCATAACATCTGAAAGATGTTCTATATACCATTCGACGCAGAATTTAATGGGCTACATTTTGGTAACAAGCGTTTATACTTATATTGTAGTTAATTAAATAATTAATAGTTAATAAATAATTAATAATAATTAGCAATTAATTAATAAAATTTTGATTTGTTTTTAAATTCCAACTCTTTCATATGAAGGAGCATAAAAAACTGAACAAAACTCTATAATTACCATTTGGAGAGCAACGAATTTAGTGAGGTTTTAGTGTGATTTTCAGAGTATGTTCAGTTGTAATTAGATATAGTATTCATTATTTTTAATAGATTCAACCATAAAACGACACATAAAATATGCGAAAACTGGCGCATTTTAAAGAGCATTATTTGCTCTTTACAATGACATATAGTGAGGGCCCAAACAAGCATAGATATTTTTATTTTATCTAAGAATTTTTTTGTAGTTTTTAATTCTAATTCTGAACTCTAAAGCCATAACCAATTTCTATATGATTTTAACTCATCAAAACGTCGAATTCCACAAATTTAGAGCCTAATCAACGAATGAAAATAATCACAACAGGTATGCAAATTGAAAACTCAGGACAAAAAGTTACTTATGCGGAATTAATTGCTAATTATTATTAATTATTAATTAACTATTAATTATTTAATTAACTACAATATAAGTATAAACGCTTGTTACCAAACTGTAGCCCACTAAATTCTGCGTCGAATGGTATATAGAACATCTTTCAGATGTTGTGAAGTAACGTAAAAATTAGCCAAATACTAAAAGTATGCTAAACTTTTTTCCCTACTTTATGTTACAGTGTTTAGTATTTTGACTATAACATCGTCATTACTCAATGAAAATCAAATTTTTTTTACCAAAATGATCAGCGAAAAAAGCTCTACAAAGTTCGATATGAGAGAAAATTTTCAGAGTATCCTTATTATTCGTTTATGCGTAAAAACAAACATGTACATGCTTTTTTGAGCCCTAACTGCAGAGATGTCCATCGCGGCCAAGAATCTGCCGCTGCCGCGCCCGCCATCGCGATGGTATTCAAAAAAATGTTTTGATTTTCACATATATGTCAAACTTGAAACTTGAATTCAATTGAAGTTTCAACTTTCAACTTTCAAGCCTCAAATGAGCAGCACTTTGCAGAATCACCACTAACCCGCATTCTCGCACACACATCATCACAGCTGGTGAGGGTGCGGCGAAAGGACTGGTCAGAAAAGGACTGGCCACGGAACGACACACATCACATCGTACCTGGTGAGGGTGCTGCGAAAGGACTGGCCAGAAAAGGACTGACCACGAAACGACACACATCACATCGCACCTGGTGAGGGTGCTGCGAAAGGACTGCCCACGAAACGACACATATCACATCGCACTTGGTGAGGATGCTGCAAAAGGATTGGCCAGAAAAGGACTGATCATGAGACGACCCATATCACATCGCAGCTGGTGAGGGTGTCGCGAAAGGACTGCCCAGAAAAGGACCCGTCGCGAAACGACTTGAAAGTTGAAGCTTGAAAGTTGAAAGTTGAAACTTGAAATTTGAAATTTCAGTTGAAAGTTGAAATTTCAATTGAATTCAAGTTTCAAGTTCGACACTACTGAATAGAATATGATTTTATAATAAAGTCAACTTAAATGAAGATTTATTTGTATATCCAAGTCTGAAATAATATTCGATTTCGATTGGTTTTTTTCTTTTTATTTATAAAATAATGTAATTTATTTTCGCTGATAAAAACTTACCATCCCGTATTAATCTTTGATAAAGTGATGTTTCTCCTTTATTTANCCACACCCACACCCACACCCACACCCACACCCACACCCACACCCACACCCACACCCACACCCACACCCACACCCACACCCACACCCACACCCACACCCACACCCACACCCACACCCACACCCACACCCACACCCACACCCACACACCCTAATGTTTTAAGCGTCAATATTTTAAATTAGTTTTAATGGTTTGGTGTTATTTGCATTAGAATTAACTAATCCCAAACTGTGATAATTAAAGTAGCGTTATTTTCTATTCTAATAGATCTGTTTCTAACGACTGGATATAAGGCATTCGAAGCTAACCAAACCGAATAGTTTTGTTCTATTTTTGAGACTGACACTTCTGAGTATAAAAAATTCTTTGTTCTATTATCCAACGTTTTCGAAGTTGAACTCTTAGAGATATAATCGTAAGTAGCATATGTATTAGAACAGAAAATAATGATTAGTTAATGGTAACAATTTAACATTAATTGATTCTAATGAGAATAATATCAAGATATTAACAATAGTTTTAATTTTAACATCTAAAACACTGGCATTATTCGAAAACTAATGTTATTGTGACATTTCTATTCGTGTTCGTTTTTTAGAAAACATAATAAATACAGAAATAAATGTGAAGTTTTTATATTCCTTAGTACGAAAACTTTTTCCTTAATTGATTCAATTTCAATTTACAATGAAAAATAATATTTATTCGATATATATATATATATATGTCTGTCATACTCTAATGAATAGCTATATTTAGTTATTTTCATCTTGATTCAAATCTTCATTTTATCAACATTAACAAGGAACACATTCGGTTTTTATGAAAAGTTTTGCAGCAAAAAGAAAAATCTTAGTCTTGACGTTGATTTCATAATTTTGTCTTATCTTACGAAGGAAAATCTCTCTATTGATGAATCACACTTGAGTTGCAACAATATGCATCATGTAGAAACTAAACAGCTATGAAAAATCTGAGAAAAATTAGGATCTTTAGTTTATCAATGCGAAAATATTGCAAGCTGATAATATTATTTTTCAACTAAATTCTATTGTCGCTCTCGACGACACCAGGTAAACTTGTTCTCGAATTTCATCTTAAAACATTTCATAGAAACAGACTTCTATGAATATGATTTATTGTGTAAGCTGCAACTCTTTTGATTAACTGTTATTCTTGAAAAAAGTTCATCGAATCAATGTTCGTTTAGGCCTATCTCTATACAAAATATCGAGTCGAAAACTTGAAAATCAATTTATTTAGTAATGTTGATGATGATCACGGTGATGACTCAATTAATTTCATCAAAATTCAGCATTTTGACAATAGCATAGCCGATGACGTGAATTCTTCTCGAAAACATTCACAATTCATTAGGAGTCTACATGATATTGATAGTCTTAACTTAAAAATGATTAAACACTGACAAGACTTCTCTTGCTGATTGAACTCGGAGAAAAATAATTGTTGTCTGAAAGTTATTCAAACCTCGTAAACTGTTACTAAGAATTTTTTTTCGATTCTCTGGATCAAATATGAGTAATGTTAAAATAATAGATGATATTTAGTTATTAAATAATAAATGCTGCAAAATCAAAAAAGAGAATATTCTTACACTATTGTCAATAATTGAGTTTTCTGCTATTTTTTCTGTGACACCAACTGCAGCTTCTTCCTTTTGTATTTCTTCTTCAAGTTGATCACTTTTTTCATTAGGAAGCTTCAATTCTGTTATATTTTCATCACACAAATCGACTAATCTATTAAAAGTAAATCAATACGTAAATCATCTTAAATGCATCCATAAAAAAATAGAAATATCACATATTAGAAGGTTTTTTTCAATAATTGAAATAAATGTAAAGTAAAAGAAAATTTGAAAAATTAAAACAACAAACCTATGTTCATCTGTATCCCATCGTCCCCAACAAAGATCAATTCCTCCAATAAAGGCAATACGTTGATCAATAACAACAGCTTTTTCATGATGAGAAAATAAGAATGATGATTCAGTTCCTGGTATAACAATATGATTAGGATGTCGAATCACTTTTATATTTTTTTTAGTTGGACTTTTAGCCATTAATTTTAATCTTGCATACCGACTATTTAAACCAACAAGTGGTGGATCTTTAAATAGTAACACATAAACACGAATTCCTTCTTCCTAAATATTCAAATATATTTATATAATAAATAAACGAAGAATATTGAAAAGTTACAGCTCGTTTATTAAGTAGATCAACAAGTCGCATTGAATCATCATCACAAGGACGAATAAGCATTACTTCAGGTGAAAGAAACCAAGCAGTAATAAATATTTCTTCTCGTGCTGCTAATATAGCTTTAGCTACTGCTTCCATATACGATTGACCATTTATAAACCTATCTCAATATAAAACAATATTTTTTTTTATTTATGACGTTTTTCTCTCATTGAATTCTTATTAGATATTTTCTTGAAGTTTATCTTAAAAAATTCTTTTTTCGAAAGTTAATTTTTAATTTTAGAAACAAATTTTAACGTTGATAGATTTAAATGAAAAAGAAATCAATACAATTTCTGCTAAACTAAAACGTAAAAGAATGATGTAGCTTTTTCTGTTAGTCAAAGATAAATTGTTTTGTTCATTCCTTTTACGGACACATTTATTTATCATAATGCTTTTCTTTAACCTTCGAGAAATACAACAATGAAGTACTTTCTTTGCTCGTATATTAAGAACGACTCTCACGATATGCGGGGGAGAGGTGGAAGGTTTTACCCAATATACTTCCAAATTTCTTTCAGATTGCCTTTCAATAACAAAAAAAAAGTTAATCTCGTTTCTGAAGAATATTCAATAAGAAATGCGTTACAAACCAATGAGCATATTGCTGTTGTCTTCTTGGTGCATATGAGAGAAAAGAATTTTGTTCAGCAAAAAGAGATTTACTTTTAACATTTATAAAACAACCAAACCAAGTATCTCGGTCATCTTTTTTTTCAAATTTATTAAGTATTGAACGTTGTAAATTTTTAATTTTAATCCCATTATTAGTTGAAGTTTTTCGATAATCGTGTTTAATAGAAAAGGCTTTATCAATAAGCATTGGAAATCCAATTAAAGCTGAATCCGAATCCATATAAACAAGATATGAGTCTTTAAGAACAAACCATTTTTCTGCATGATGACATCGAAGTTTATCACATATAAATGGAACTCGAAGAAATATTGAACGACCACGGATATCATCAATTGAACGTTTTGCAATAGCACCTTCTTTTGCACTATTACCCAAACCTTGCACAAATGATGATGAACTTACTTCAAGAAATTCTTTCTATTTAATTAAATTAATCAAAATTTTATCTTATAGTTTTTTTATGTATTTACCGTAGCTATATGTTCACGAAATTTTGGATGTTTTAATACTGTATTCAAATAATTTTGTAATGTTTTCTATAAACGAAAGTAAATAAATAAAGAAAAACAAGACAAAAAACAAAATCTTACACATCGATCTTCAATTGTAAATTGATTTATAAAAGAAACTCGATCATTACGAGTTGGAAAACATGGTTGTTCTTCTTGTTTTTTATTTAATGAAAAACTTTGATCATTATTCGTTTCTTTTCCTGATAAATCACTTCAAATTAAATATTTAACAGAAAAAAAAACAACTAAATCAAATATATTTTTAAATATTATTACTTGTTTAAGCTACTTATAGATCGTCCTGTTGCACATTCAACATAATGAACAAGAGCTTTGTGAAGATCATGAAAATGTTTATAACGTTTATGTATGGTCCATTCAAATGCAGAACCATGACGAACTGTTACTGTATACCTTTAAAAAAACAATAAGTATTTTATTTTATAATATAAATTACTTTTTAAGAAATTATTCTTAATATTATTGATGAGAAAAATACTTACAGATATGGATGAAGAAACTCTGTAACAGGATTATAATCTCTTACTGCAGTTATGCTAACAATTTCAACTGATAATCCATCAATAAATGTTTTATTATATCTCAGATAGACTTCTTCCAGTGGACGTTTTTCATCTATTGTAAACAAAATTAATAAAAAAAACAACTAGATAGTTTGTATTGCTTATTAATACTTGAATAGAGTTGTAGAGATTCTTCAATAAATTTCTCATCTGGATAAGGTAAATATTCAATATGTCTTTGAGGAGGATTACCTAAAAAAATACATGGAGAATAAGAAATATTAAATTAAAATCTTCGAGATTTTTTTTTCAATAAAATAATCTCATTGAAAATAAGATCAATCAATAAATGAATATTTTTCGCAACAGGATAATTTTTATAATAAAGCTATACACATATTATTTACGAATAAATTATCTTTGTTTTTTCAACAACTAACTTAATAAGAACTATGCAATATAATACTATACAAATAAGTAAGACTGTATATTTACTTGAGATCACAGTGATTCGTGCCAAATCAATTGTTGGCTTTACAAGACTATCAATACCAACAGATGGATCCATTTGAGCGAGTATTTCCTTTCTGTTCAAATCAATGAATAAAAAAAATTATTTTTGTAATATTAACTAGATGGTCTTCGAGTGAAATTCGAAGATGAAATGCAGTGACAGCACAGATATCAACTATCGAAAAGAAAAGAATCATCGTTATTGGAATCTATTGTAAGTCGCTCTTTGCCTAAAGATATTTGAGCTTTGCTTAAATCAAATTTTCTATGGTCGTCGTAAATCGAAAAAGTTATATTTCCATTAATCAACTGATCAAAGTCAGGACCAATGTAAAAGGTAATCACAGTAAAATTCCTCATTCCAAAAACTCTATCTTTGACGAACGCTATCGATTGATTGTTTAATTTAACTATATGGTTCATTATCTATAACCAGCTTCATTCACAGATTGTCTTACATATGAGTAAGGAGCGTGACACCTAACTATTCTCGTCTAAATTATCTCGAAACTTAGAAAATCCAAAAGCATCAAAAAATTGTGCTTTGGGAGCACTATTTGGAAACGAACAGGATATCTTAAGGATAATTGTAAAACCTGCTTCTAATTCGATCTTGATAGTTCCTTCTCACATTTAAACAAATATTTTCAAACTTCTTTTTCTCGAGGTCACTGTGACATAAAATGTAAAACTAAAAGACGTATGTCTTATTGGAAAAAATTAAACAATAATAAAAATAATTAAATAAATAAAACTCACGAGACAGTACTATAAAAATGCTTCGCATCTTAAAAAAAGCAAACTTCACAAAGCACTACATAAGTTCTGTGCTTCATACCACATAAAAAAAACAAGCTATCAATCGTAGAAAAAAAAACACACATTGAATGAAAGCAAGACTGCAAAGTAACTGTTGTTGTTTTTATACGTTCTCTATTTTTCTTTCCTGTTCTCTGTTATTTTTTGCTGTTCTTTGGCCTTACCATATTTTGTCACATTTACACACGATACATTGTAGCTGTTCAAACTACCATCCATATTGACTTAAAAATGAAAGATAAAAAACAATATTTTCCTTTTCTCTTTTTCTTTCTATTCTATGACGAGGAAATACTCAAAGACGTTCTGTCGACTGATTACTTCGACAGAAATTATACGTACAACGATTAATACTAATGCATTGCAAAAATACAGAAAAAAAAACAGATTAATTATCAAACATGAAAAAATATTGTTTTTGGTATAGAAAACCATTCATTGACTGAATAATGTTAAAGATTAGTGAAGAATTTCAGATAAGATTCTTAATGTAAATAAATATTTTTTGATTGTTAGTTTTTATTTGACAATTATTCTGTCTATGTTTTTTGCCATAATATATCTAATGAAGAAGTCTTACCAACAGAAACTTTGTTTTGTATTTATGATTAATATTCAAGCCAATGGGAAAAAAGTTTAGTCTTGGATCCTCAGCAGTCTTTTGATTGCCTTGATCAGCATAATGTTTCTCTTGTTAGTCCAAGTTGATACTCTTTTATGAGGAGTTTCACCAGAGTTGTTATTTTTTGTTTTGTAGGTCTTACGACTGCTTCATTGTATTTTATGAATTTGTATTCCCTTATAAGAAAATAACATCAAATTATTTTTTTTGAAGTAAACACAAAAGAATGATGAAATTAGGTTATGTTGAATAGATATTAATATAATATTACTGTATAAAGTAAGTAGACAGGCCTTCACAAGCAGACTAGACTTGTTGAGGAAATAAGACGACGAACACAGGTAGGCTAGAAATGATCTAGATCTGTTATAGGTAAATCAAGCTTGCAAACAGTTGGCCTGTTTGAACCTCTGCTACATGCAAACAACGATTAAGTTTATGAAATGGTGGAAGAAATGTTCGATTGTTTTTTTAAAGCTTTGTAATATTATAAGATTTTCATTGATTATTACTAGGTAACTTTTACTATGAAGAAAAACGAACACAAATGTTGTCGTATTGCATACGAACGCGTTCTTTAAAAACAAACAAAGCAAAAATGATTTCTCTTTCTGTTTATTACCAATGATAATACTGGCTTATTTTTAGTTTGGCATGAGTCTACAGCGTTGGATTCATTCAATTAAAAACAAATGATGAGAAAACCTTGTTCAAATAAGTGTTGATTGTCTCAAGGTTACTCATTCTGATCTATGGGGATAAAGAGACAACTTCTGATATTCTATAGTTTTAATACAGTAGACGATCTTTGAACAAAGCTGATTAGAAAGTTAACCTGATTTCGAGTTGTTACATACTATTTCTTTAAGGTTCGATATACATTTAAATAATCATTGAGCAAGCGAAAACTCTACTGCACACCTTGAGAAGAGAAATTTCTCTTAGGATAGATTAGTCAGAACTTGTAAATACCAAGATGTTAAACATTCTATTTATTTAAGAGACAAATTGAATAGAACATCAAAAAGTATCAATTACTAAACAATAAACTATTACAATCTGCAATGAAGTCTAATTCCATCATTTGAGTATTGGAAAAAATTATCAATGATATTCATGATGAAATTATATCTTGGCAAAAGAAACAGTATCTCCTATTTCTCTATTATTTCTAGTTATATTTTCTCTATAATCAATAGAATTGAAAATAATTTTAATTTATAAAATTTCAGTGAAATCGAGGAAAAAAACGAAAAAAAGATGAATCGAATCACTCATCGATCAGTTAAAATCAAATAAAAGAGCGTGAATAGTATTCAATCAATGAAGTTCAAAAGTATGATTAATAATAATAATATGCTCTGAAGACAAAAACAATCTCAAAACTAAAAACGATAAAATCTATTGAAGAATTTTAATTTTTAGTCGAATTGTTAAAAAAATAATGCTAAAAAAATGCAAGAAAAGACTTTTGATATATCGCAGGTCTTAAATTGTTTTCATTATCATCAACAAACATGCTTCAACATGTTAATCTAGAAACAATCTTTTGAAAATTTTTTCGCCAAATGATAATGTTATATGGAACTAAATCATTTCTTATTATTCTTGTAACAATCCTAAACATAATTCATTTACAATGTAAAGAAACATAAAAGCAGAGCAATCAATTTTGAATGAATGATCAAGTTGATTTAAAAAAAATATCTGAGTGTTGATGATGGCGCTTATACAATAGCAGCAGCAGTTAGTTTTCTTTTATTATTTCTATATGATGAGAGAAAGCATGTACCTTTTATGCATCGAAATCTTGTCAAAAATTGTTTGTCTGATCACGTTACTTTATTTAATGTATTTTCATAATTTGAAAGAGAAAAGTATTTTTTACGGAAAAAATGTTTTTCATCTAATCAAAGAATTTTTTTAAGTAGAAATCGCAATGACGAACATGCTGCAATGGACTGTTATGAATGTCGATGTCGTAATTTATCAACAACGCGAATGACCTATGAAGCAGGAGTCAAATAATTTAATATAGTGATAATGTCAGGTTTTTCTGAAGAATGTTCAGCATCTCAATGGCTTGATGTTGAACAACCACATTCCAGATTAGATATTGTATTTATAAAAAAAAAAGACTATTTAATTTGAATTAACTGTAATATTGCTTTTATTTCAAAGTGATATTACTTCTTTGTTTTATTATTTATCTAAATGTTTGTTTTCATACATCAAAACGATGATTCTTCACAACTGAAAGTAAAGAAGCATTAATACATAAAAATCTCGTTAATTGTGATCGAGAAATTCTAATATTTCCATCGTCATTTTTCATTTTTACGAGGTAAATAAAAATTGAAATTGTAATAGAATAAAAATATTTTCTCGATTAAGATAAAAACTGAAGCTATATATGCCCTGATCAAGTTTATGTTGTTGAAATGAATCTTGTTTCTCTGGATCATTCATCTGTATATTTATACTTCATCTGAAATATTTATTTTTAATTTATTTGCGATTCTATTAAGTATAAATATTGAAATAATTAATATCAAAAATTGTCGCACTATTCGATCAGTTATAGTAGTATTAACTAAATAGCACATAGACTAACCAAAAAATAGTTTGACCCAAATGAGATTTAACCGATGATGTTCAAATATTTAAATTAAAAAAAAAGTGGGAGAGTAAATCATTTTTCCTACGTACGTACTAGTGAATGTCACACGTTATTGTAACCAACAGAACCTTGCATAGAGGTCATTAGAGAATGAATAAAAAGATGATATTCGAGTTGTATTCGACTATGAAATGCAGTTTGAAGCAACAAACATTGATTATTTAGAAAAGCAATGTCTGATGAAAAATGATGAATTGTTCACCACAATTTATCCTAGAAACGCTTTTCCACAAAACACATTTTTATTTTACTCGAATCAGACTTGTTTTTGTCATAGTAAATCGAAAAACCTACGTTTCGATGAATTATTTGTTCAACGGGCAACAGCAGTTGGAAAATCAGGCTTGGCTCAATTTGCTACTATGAGAACATGATCAATTCCAATCAATATGTTTTTCGTGAATGATATCGATTGATCGTTTAAGTATCAATATGATACATTTTCCTATAATCAGCTGTATTCACAACTGTGTTAAATATAAAAAAAGAGAGTGCTGACTAACTTTTGTTGCTGTCTTCATTTTAATTATCTTGAACTCTGAAAAAATCTAGAAAGTTCTCAAAAATTTGTATTTTTGGAACGCTATTTGTAAACGGATGAATCGTCCTTAGTAAGACTGGGAAAATGGTACCAGTTCGATTTCGATACTTTCATCTCTCGTTCCAACGAGTATTTTCTGGCTTTGTATATTCTCGAGTTTAAGATTTTCGAAAAATTTATTTATGTGAATTTTATCTTCGTTTAATTGACGTACTTTCACAGATTGTATAGAATTTAAACGTCACATATATGAAAAATATTCAAGTAAAAATGCTTAACGAATATTTGATAAAGAAACAACTTTTATATTTTTCATTCTCTGTGTTCACAGTACAATCATACAGAGAGACATAACTAGTAGTCTTCTATAGACTTCTGTTAATTGATGCAAAA